AATTATTATAAATTATTATATTTGTACATACCTATTTACGTTGTTAACTGTGCGGGAGTTGATATAGTGAAATGACGAAACAATTACACATGAAACTTGTTTACAAAATATTTTTGCGATAACTAGGGCTCGGATGTTGTTGCACTAAAAATGTAATACAATTGATTGCGTTATTGCTGTGAAAAAAACCCAAAATTGCTCTTAAAAATTGCAATAAAAAAATATTTTGTACCAAAAAAATATATTAACAAATTATTTTATGAAATGGATTGTCATTTTATTAAGTAATATTATAAAGTTTTATTAGATAGGTTTTAAACGAGTAGATAATAAAAAAGATTGTCAGTTGTCATTAAAACTCTGGTAAATTGTGCGGTCTTCTTATTTTTTCAGAAATCTACAAATAATTTTAACAAAATTTAAAACTTTTTATTTAAACTATTTTTGATTTGTTTTTTAAAAAAAACCTTACCTTACCTTAAAAATTGTTGCACTGTATAATCTAGCAAAAAAAAAGTGAAAACATAAAAAAATATATAAAATTGTATTGAAAATGACGACAATCATCAAAATTGCAATAAAATTTAAAAAAGGTCAAAAATTGCAAAAAGTTGCACTTAAATTTTTTATATATTAATTGATACTCGTTTRAAATAAATGTATAACTTACTAGCAACGAATCCGAATAGTAGAAAAAAAATTACAAATGCAACAACATCCGAGCTCTAGCGATAACGTTTCGRAAACAACAGTGTATGTTGCTCCATTTAAATACACGCGTTTTCAAGTAACGAAATAAATTTCTTGTTTCACGAAACAAATTTCTCATGTGTGTCACCGGCCTAAATATTGTATTTTCATAATATCAATCCTCAACTTTTTATTAACAATTATTGACCTAATAATTTATATTAAATATWATTTTTTTTCATTTATTTTAAATATACATTTAATGGAATACACTACTTTAGAAAATTAAAATATGTTTAATTATTAAAATATCAAATTTAAAAACAGATTTTTAGTTAATTTCAGAATTTATATTATTATTATATATATTTTTATTAATAATTTGTATGATTAATTTTTCTTGTTATCATAATATAAAAAAAAAAATGTGTAGTTACCTAATCAATATTTAATGTCGTCCGATATATCTATGTATAAGTGTTGAAAGTTCAAATACATTTTGTTTAAAATCATAGACCTTAATACCTTATACTGAGTATAAAATATATTTTTATTTTTATATAATATTATTGATATTTTTAGACTTAACTAAATAAATTCATCTAAACATAAAAAAAAAATTACTCTTACAGATATTTCACAATGGAAGAAACTGTTGTTAATTCATCTGACACTAATAAAATCAGCCAGTCTGCTGTTGGTGAATGGAAAAATGATGAAAATATTTCCTATAATGATAACTATGAGCAGAATATAGTAGAAACACTCAATGATACTAAATTAAATGATAATTCGTTATTTGAAAATGCAGTTATAGAAACACAAGAAAATAACTGCGATTTCTCTAATAATGAAAACACACAAAACACTTGGGCCACTCAAACTGAACCAAAAAATCATCATGGTTATAAATTTAACTCAGAATATCAGAAAGGACCAGAATTTAATAAATCAAACAATGATAATAATTCTTTTGAAAAATCATATGGTTATGATTCCTCTTCAAATAATTTTTCAAATAACGGACATGTACGTGGCCGTGGTCGTGGCCGTGGCCGTGGTCGAGGTATAATAAAAAAGTTTGATGAAGAAAATGAATCATTTAGAGATGAATATGACTCTAGTATTAATAATTATACAGCCTCAGGTCATCGAGGTCGAGGACGAGGGTTTAATCGTGGTAGAGGAAGAAGGCGAGATCAGTCATCGGAAGTAGGTGGCTGGTATGGCAATAGTGAAGATGGTCATAAAAAAAAAGAAAATGATAAATCAACTATTTCAAAAGCAGCGTACATTCCTCCTGATATTGAAAATGAAGAGTTTATTGCTGGAATTGAGGCAGGGCTTAATTTTGACAAATATAAAACTATTGAAGTAAAAGTGAGTGGATCTAACCCTCCAAAAAGTATAACATCATTTCATAATTCTGGTTTGTGCACTATTTTGCTAGACAACTTGTCTAACTGTAATTTCTCCACACCAACTCCAGTACAAAATTATGCAATACCTGTTATCATTGATGGTAGAGATTTGATGGCCAGTGCTCAGACTGGTTCTGGAAAAACTGTAAGTTAATTTATGCTTAAAGCTTAAGTACTTAACAAATGTATAAAGTATTAATTTTTTAGGCAGCATATGTCTTACCTATTTTGCATAATTTACTGAAGCAACCAACAGAATTAATTTATGACGAAAATCATTGTGAACCGCATGTAGTTATTATTGCACCTACAAGAGAGTTAGTTTCACAAATAAGTGAATGTGTATGGAAATTCAGTAAAGGAACTAATATAAGAAATGGACTATTGTATGGTGGCACATCTATTTATCATCAAAAATCAAAAATCCTTCAGGTAATGTAATTTTAAATAGTTAAATTATTAAAAAATAAATTTACTCCTTTGATTTTATATATTTTGAATTATAATAATTTTACCCATACAGAGAGGAGTTCACATATTAACTGCTACTCCAGGACGTCTGATTGATTTTGTTGAAAAAGGTATTGTGACTTTCAGATCAGTCAAATATTTTGTTTTGGATGAAGCAGATAGAATGTTGGATATGGGATTTAAACCTGATATAGAACAAATATTAACGAATTCGACTATGACACCCATAGTAAGTTTTCTCTGTTATTTAATACATGCAGTGATGAGCTGAAGGGCTCAATTTTGACACAGCTGGGTCAACTTTTCAAAAGAGTTAGAGAATAGCCCCATTGATTTGTGACGTTAGATATTAGGGGATGGTGGTGTTCGAGTACTTAAATATAAAAATGTGTCATTTAATTTAAGTTATTCCACAAATGACTACATATATAATGTTTATTGTATTATTGTGTATAATGCCTGATATTTTATGTCCCATGGTAAGCATTTTTCCTGACTAAAATATAAATGATAATTTATATACACTATTTCTAGATGACGGACCATGGTTGTTAAGATATAAAATGGCTGACCAGGGTTAGCAACTTTTATACACCATTAAACAAATTATAATTGTATAATATTTTGTCATAAGGTATATTATATATTTGATTTTGTGATATTACCTTATATTTGAATAGTAAAACATTTAAAATTAAAAAAAAACTTTTCATACATTTGATCCTTTTATCACATTTCAAGTTTTTTGTCTGAGAAAAATAGTTTTGATCAAAAATAAGTATTATATTTATTTTACTTATATTCAAATATACACAATCACGAATCAAATATAATTTTGCATAGAACTCGTACAGTTACTTTTGGCTTGTATGTCAGGAAATGTTTCAAAACGGATGAACTGATTTTAGTGGTGTTTTAACTGTATCTATTGTAGTTCCTGGTGACCTGGTAAATAAAATAGTTACTATGATTAGATATAATTGTATACATTTTTTATTTATATAATCAAAACAACTCAAATAATTGTTTTATAAATGTGTGCAGCTTACATTAACAGTGTTTGAGAACTAAGTAAGGATAAATCTACTGGACTTTAATTTGTCATTGGGAACACTGTGTAGGATCATCTAGTATATTATATTTATTAATAATAAATAAAATGTATTATGTACAATTTGGTGTTACAACTATGACAGAAGTTTTGATGAGTATAACTTTTCTAGGAATCAAGACAGACAGTTATGTTTTCTGCTACATTTGCGTGTGAAATACAACATATGGCTACTTCTTATTTGAAACCAGATTATATATTTGTAGCCGTTGGAGAAATAGGAGGTGCATGTAAAGATGTTGTGCAAATAGTAAAAGAAGTCACAAAGTTTAAAAAAAAAAATGCATTACTTGATGTACTTAAAGAAATGGGTATGCTTATTAATATTAAATGTTAAATAATTCATTATTACCTAATTAAAATATTAAAATATTTATACAATTATTTATATGTAAAAAATTGTATGTTTATACAAGTATAATAATCAATTGTATTTTTATTGTTTTAGAAAATTGTCAAGGTACTATGGTGTTTGTTGAAAGAAAAAAAGTTGCAGATTATACAGCTGCATATTTAAGTGAAGTGGATTTCCCTACTACAAGTATTCATGGTGATCGTGAGCAACCTGAACGAGAACAAGCATTAAGAGATTTCAAAACAAATAAAATGAAAATTCTAGTAGCCACTGCTGTAGCAGCTCGTGGATTAGGTATTTACTTAAAATTTTAAATGATTATTTTAATATTATAAATATTTTTATTTTTATTTGTATTCCTAGACATTAAAGGTGTGAATTATGTGGTGAACTTTGATCTACCAAAAACAATTGATGAGTATGTCCATCGGATTGGGCGTACTGGTAGATTAGGAAATGCCGGTAAAGCTATTTCATTTTTTGATCCAGAATTTGATGGTCCACTAGCTCCTGAATTAATTAGAATTCTCAAACAAGTAAGTTTCCTTTAATAATAACTCATACAAAATCAATTTAAATTGATTATTATTAAAAATTGTATTTATTTCAATTTATTATAAAACTCATATAACTATACTTTATCCAGTGTGATAACAGTATAAAACCCTGCCCCTGACAAATGTTGGTTTTTCTACACTTCCCTATGCGATACCCTGCCTTACATAATTGGTCTCAATCAGGGAGTCGAGTGAGTATGCGAAGAATTGATATGTTCTTTTGCTGAAAAAGAATATAAATTTGTAATTAATTTGTGTTTCAATATCAACATTGCAGTATATAGAATATTTTTTATTTTATTTTTCATTTTTTTTTTTTATTAGATAAAATAGAATATTTACAATCTGTAATTTATATACATACAATAAGTAATGTAAATATGATAACAAAGAAAAGGCAGGTATAACATGAATGGCGTGAGGAGGGAGGTCCACCAGTGTGGATACCCTCTAACTTGGGGGAATATAAAATATTTAAAACATATTAATAAAATTGAAAGTTAATATTTTTAATATTTAATTTTTTTTAAACTCCAAATACAAAGTAATATCTTTTAAATTATATATTTTAGGCAGATCAAGAAGTACCATCATTTCTTAATGATGCTTCTGAACGTATTCTAGCTTCTCCAGATATTGACAATTTCAATGATATAAGAATGGTAACATACAGATTAATAATTATTATTAGCTATCTAGTTTTCTTATTATTTGTATAAAAAAAAAATACCACATTATTTGCTTGTTTTCTAATAGGCTATAAGTCATGTGATATTTACACTTAAGTAGAAAAATGCTTAAATTGTGTTAATTTTAATTTTATTTTTTAGAATGTTGATGTCACATCCAACCTGGTTGTTACTGAAGAAGAAGAGTGGTAAAACATGAGTAGTTTAGGATTTAGATAATATGCTAGAGTATAAATATGAAGTAATTCTAAAAATATGAATCAGCTAATATCATTAAAATTAAAAAATCTAAATTTGTTTTAACCTATAAACATGGTTCGGAACTTAAAGCATTTGCTTTTTTATTTGGCTTGATTAAGGTCTAGAAAAAGTGCAAAAAGTTTTAGAAACGTATGTCTTGTAACTATAATTTATAATATACTGAAATATAGTTTTATATTTATTGTTCTTTATATTTTATCTTTGAGATAACACAGACAAACCACTAAACACTGATAAAATTCAATCAATTGTTTTACATAATTTTTTTTTTCAATGTATTTTTGATAGAATTTTCCCTTTAAACTCAATACTTTTTTTATTAAAAATAAACAAACTTGTTTTTGATTATTTTTCCGTTGTGTCAGTCATAGCTGGCCACCGTGGGCAATACAAATATATTACCAAACAAGATTAGTAATTGATCCTCAGTAGGATGTTTGTTATATTGTTTTTTAATTAAGTTACTAAATTTAAAATTGGAAAAAGATTAGTGCTATTTTAAAGTTACATATTTGATATTGATTTGGACTTTTTTATGAATGTCGATATGTCTTGTTAAGTAAAGTATTTAAATTTTTCCCATATTTTTTTATTTTAAGTTTAGTTGAGAGCAGGTTAATACTTTTGAGTTTGTTTTTTAATGTTTTTAAACAAGTGATTGAATTAAAGATTATTGGTGTTTATTTTGATAATTTTATTTGTTAGTTCCGAACTCTGGTTACAAAATATAACAACAATATTATGTACTAATATTATAATACTATGAGTTGACATTTTAGTGTATAATATTTAAACATATTTAAAAGAATAATTTTCTAGACAGGTTGAGATGTCGCGATTTTTGACAGAATCTCATTACAAATTGTTTAAAAAAAATTTTTTTTAATATTGTAGATATTGACTGACTGATGCTCATTAAAAAAAAAACAAACTTAGTTAATTTAATATTTTTACTAAAACTATATTAAACTGATAATTGAAAAATCTATTACGTTTTAATTATTTAATTTATAATTTGTGGTTTTTCTGCTGTAATAGCTAACTTATTTTTATAACAAAAATCTTAGAAATTTTAGTTTATTGGACCAATTAAAATTYCTCATATTATTAAGTATCTATTGGTGAAGGTATTTGTAACTCATACACATAAAAATATGTATATATTTATTTTTATTGACAATATATAACTCAATTTCACAAAGATGATTATTTATTATTTATTATTTTTTACTCAGAAAATTATCAAACTATTTTCACTATATTATTTAACAGATAAAAATCAATATTTAACTTGAAATATTTTATTTGTTAATTTTTTTTAATACTTAGACCAAATTAAGGATTTAGATTTTTATAACTTTGTTTTGTTTAATTTTATATATGACATTAATAATTGTAATTAATTTTTTTATTGATTATTGTTAAACTAATCACATATTTTATTATTGAATACTCAAAAGTGGCATCAATCTACAAATGATTCATATACAAATGTATTGCTGATACTAATTGTTTGTTATCCATTCATATTATATTACTTTAAGGGCTAGTTGTACCGTCTACGGTTAAACTTCGATTACGCTTAATCAGCTGATAACAGATATTTAACCRTGCAAATTCGGCCGATTAAACTCCGGTTAACTTTAATCAGAGACGGTACAACTGGCCTTAAGTATGAGCTTAAATCAACCATAATATTCAATGTTTATTATAGATGAGGGATTTTGAAAGACAATACACACTCTCTTGTCAAAAGAAATGATCCTTAGACATTGATTCATAGTTACTAAGTATCTACATATAATACTGATATTATATTAATTTTTGGTAATTACTCATTAGTAATGGTTTTACTTATATTTTAAATTWAAATATTAACCWAGTACCATATATTATTTTAAGCTAATTAAGATAATAGTATGGATACTAATTACTACTGAATGTTGGGGTGGAGTATTTAAATTTCATTAGGCTATTCTATGAAATTTTAAAACTTGATTACTAATTTACAATTGAGAATTGAGATTGGGGTTTTTTTAAATTGAATTGATTAATTTATATTTTCCAAACAACTAACGATAGTATTGTGTGTTGAAGCATTTTTCTTTGATTATTAGTTTATCACTTATTATTTGTTAATTTACTCCATTAGCAATTCCTTTTATGTAACCAAATGGTATAGGTTTTAAGTCCTGGATTAATTTATTTTGCAAATAATTTAATTTTGYAGTTGTGCCATTTCATTGAAAACATTATCGCAATTATAATTTGCAGTTATATTTTTCATACCATTATTAGTTGTAAAGGAAAATATATTATTATTTGGGAGGCTAATGTGTTGTGTGCTTTTTATGAAGCCATAACTCTTCCCAAATACTCACATGAGTACATAACTATACAGTTTTTAGTTTTTAGAACAACTCCTGCTATTATAAAATTCTGTTAATAAGTTTGTTTAGTTTTCAATAGATTGTGTTAACTAATAATATTTAAATTTGAGTTCATTTAATGTATTTATTGAAATTAATTTGGTTGGAATAATTTAATGCTTAAAATTAAAATAATAACTAACTTGTTGCAGCTGCCTAGACTATTACAAAAATAAGATTTTTAATTCATATTAATATTCAGCTTATTTTTTAGACTTAATTTTACAATTGCAGCTTATGATTTTTTTTTAAAGAATAAGAAATAAAAAATTATATTTTGATGAATTGTATTACACATTAAAAGTACTTCTATGTTTAATGAAAGATTTTTTTCTACATTATTAATGTAGTTATTAATACCTATTATTATACAAATTATAAAACATTTATGTAGTAATTAATAATTATAATTCATATAATATATTTTTTACAATGTGTACTTTTCATTTAGTGTTCTATTATTTAATAAAATTTATATATATTGTTATTAATTATTACAATTGCCTACATATGTTTAAAAAATTATTATTATGATAATGGTTTATAATCGTAGTATGTATATTGTATAAAAAATTTTCCAAATACATTTACAGTGTTAAATATATTATATATATATATAAATTTTTATTAAAATAAGTATTGAATCCCATTTTTAAAAATTATTGTTTGAAAATTATATCTCGAAGATAGCGGCCGTCAGCATCAATACACTGTTGTAGACGATCTCTGAAGCTCTCATATGATTTTATGTTGTGATGTTGGAAACTGATCTGCAGCATAGGTTGGAGGAAATGGCTGAAGACCATGATTTAGAGAATGTATGGTTTCAACAAGACGGGGCTACAGCACGCTCGGATTTCACTTGGTGTCTTGCAACAAATGTTCCCTGGGCGGTTAGTCTCTCTAAGAGGAGACATAGGCTGGCCAGCACGGTCTCCAGATTTAAGCATGTGTGAATTTTTTCCTCTGGGGCTACCTTAAGGATAAGGTTTTCAGACATCGCCCATATACCATAGAAGACCTTAAACAGAAAATCACCGAGGAAATCGAAGCCATACCAGTCGAAAYGTGCCGAAAATCATATGAGAGCTTCAGAGATCGTCTACAACAGTGTATTGATGCTGACGGCCGCCATCTTGGAGATATAATTTTCAAACAATAATTTTTAAAAATGGGATTCAATACTTATTTTAATTAAAAAAAAGTTTTTTTTCTCTAAGTTTTACTGTTCGTTTTTTATAACCCTTCAAAACTCGTCAGTCGGCTCTGCCGCATCCTGTACCTTGATTTATGAAAATATTTAACCAAGTGCTTGATTTTTGATAAACTATCAAAGTATGTTTTAAAAACATTTAGAATTTGATCACATATACGTTTTGAAATATACTGTGTCCTAACTAAGCATACAATAAAGCTTACAAAAATAAAAAAATATGCAAAATGCATAAAAAGTCTTGGTTTACGTAATACGTAAAGATATATCTACACGGAAACCAGGATACAGTGAGACTTATATTTCCGGTAAAAGATAATATTATCGTAATTAGCGACGTCCTTAAAAATAATAAATAATAATTATTTTTTTTTCAACTAATTTCAGCGCACTTAAAATATTTATAATAAAAACAGTAAGTTGCCTTCATGATGGTAACCTGTAAGCATTAATGGTTGTGCGGAAGTGAGAATTCATAAGTAAAAAGTAATCAATTTAATATTTTATAAACTATATCCTATATGATCTATATGCCTAAATTGTACCTAAATAATGAAAGAGTGTCGAAATAAGTTATCTTGTATACACAAAATACCAAAATACACAATATGACATATGTACCTACCTACAACAGTTCGTTAATTATTAAAGTAAACTTATTAATTTATGAAAATGTATAATATAACCACCCGACTTTAGATATTATCAATAAAATTAAACCAAAACTTTGAACTATATACTGCATCAGGTCCGTAGCTAAGGGGAGGGTTAGGGGGTTCAAATTTCTTCCATCTCTTCAACAAAGAAGAAAATGTAAAAATGTCTAGTATATTCTAAAATTTAAAATTTAATTTTTTAAATCCTTTTTTTTTAACTGTATATGTTATTAGTAATTACTTAATATAATATTGTAATAAATTTGTAGCAGTGTCGGTCTGGCCCACCCGGCTACCTGGCGATCGCTGGGGGCCCTTGGATATTTTTCAATATTAGGGGCCCATAGCCAATTGTAAACGTAATAAAAAATAGGCATGTGTTTAAAATTCTAATTGGTCATAACTCTAATAAATATGTAAGCATTGAACAAAATTGTAATAACTATTTACCAAAAATATTTCAAATTCTTTTTAAACTTACAACTAAAACGGGCTTGTTCAATACACTGTACATAGCATTAAAATATGTTCTTATACTTCCATGCACACAAGTTAAGAGTGAACGAGTGTTTGAAAAACTAAAAATTTTAAAAAACAAACATAAATCTTCATTTAGGCAGCAATATTTAGATCCTTTAACTGATATATTTGTTGAAGATGATATCATTCAATGTATAAGCAAAGATAAAGTTATTGATATGTTATAGGATCGTCATGCATGCAATTCATTTCAAAGAATTAAAAAATTACTTTTTTAATAATTTAATGTTAATTTTTAATTCAAATTTTGCATTTTATTTGTAAGATTGTTAAGTAACAATGTTGGTTTACATTTTTATATTTATAATATTATATTTTTATATTGACTAAGACGTTGGA